ACAAAAAAAAAAAAAAAAAAAAAAAAAAAAATCATCTCCAGAAGAAACTCACTGCATGATTTCCTCCAAATTCACCATCCTGCTGCTAGCCTGCTTTTAGAGGCCAACTTCCTTAAATTAACTTCTTTTTGCATGCAATTTGCAGAGAGTAATGATGAATTTTATATTGTGCCTTTTAATACTGCATGCAAACCAGATTCTCATTCATTGTACTGCTGCTATTAATTACCATAAGCTGGGAGGTTTGTAGACATTTTTCCTCACAGCAAATTCCCCAGCTCTCCTGGCAGCATACTTTTCCATTTTCCTTCGGTAACATATTTTTTTTCAGGCTTATTTCACATCAATCTGGTTTGAACTGCATTGCCCTGTGCCAGCTCAGCTTCTGAAAGTCTTAATTGTTTTTCGTATTTTTCTCATTATTCTCCTTCTACCCAGTGAAGACAGCAAATGCTGAAATTACGCTGTTTCACATCATTAAGACCATTAGTATAAATAATGAGGTTTTAGAGTACAGCTAAACCTCATAATAGCCCATTAGCAATGTCTGTCCAGAATGAAATTTACCTGTAATATAGCTACTTTATGTGCCATTTACTTCAAACCCAGCAAGCCAATCTGCCTCCACACATAAGGGTTGAAGGCTAACATAACACTAAGAAAAATTCTTTTAATAAAGTAGAACAGCTATAAGGATGTCAAACTTCACATATATTTGCACTATCAAGACACTACTTGGCTGAAACGCTGACTGGTGCTACAAGGAACAATCAAATCCATTTTAACTTTTTCTTTGCATGAGAAAACTTAAGTTACTATCAGTATGCTTGATTATTATTTTAGTTAGCTCTATCTTCCTATTTTGGTAAAACAACTATAGTGCTCAGGAATCTTTTCCATAAAATTATTTTTAAACACTTCATAAAATATTTGAGTATCTACCACACTATCTTCATGTAAAATTTTATAATAGATGACAATATTTATCAGTTATTTCTATCCTCATAGAGCATGGAAGATACACAGGCCACGTAGTACACATTCTTGTTGTTCTACCCACTGCATTACAAGACAGCAGAGCAGCAAGACACCAGGCTACAGCAAGTGAGGTTCTGCTCAAATGCAACAGCAGCAGGCACAAAAATAAGAGAAAGAAACTACTCACCTTCTGAAGGCCAAGAAGATCCTCAGGTAGTCAGGAAACTCACGATGAAACACCCTTGCCCCCACTGCCAGCCCTTAAGTGAGGTCTGGGAAGGGTGGAGCTAGGATCCACCCCTTCCAGTCACTCAGGTGCACCTGAATTTCCTTGGGTTGGCCCTGCCTTCCTATCAGGTGCTCAATCTCTGGTTCAAGTCATGACCTAGCATTTCCACTCACTGTTATTGTTCGTCAACATCATTAGTGAAGCAATACAACACATGGAAATGAAAAAAAAAAAAAAAAAGAACAACAAAAACAGAAAAAAATGATTCACTGTCAGAAATTTTATCAACCTATGTTACTGTCCCCTGTGTATTACCTGTGTGGAAGAATGTGTGCAAGTCTACAATATTTGAAACACCTTTTGATGGTGGAAAAAATAGAATTAGAAATGCAATAGGTAATGGGAGATATGTCATAAATCTTTTCCCATCATATAGTAAGTCATCGTCACAGCTGTACAGTCCTAACTTGTTAGCCAGCATCCCTTTTGCATAAATGTTTCTGAGAAATTTCTGTGCCAAATTTTAGGGGAAAAAAATTCTAATTTAAGTAAAAACAGAGGTTGGTCAATGTAGAGGTTGCTACAGTTGTGTAAATTGCAATATACTTATAAAACTTTCAGTAAAAGGCAACTTCTTTATTTGAGACCTCTTAGCCATCACGTGTATGTGCCTCATAATTTCAGTAGTAGGCTTTCTTACTTGTTTTCTAAATGAACACTTTGTCAGGTTGACACACAGTAGGTTCTGCCTTAATTGTTCATATATTTCATCTATTACAGAGGCTAACAAACTTAGAAATTGATTGTTGATAACTTGAATTCTGTGTAATTATAGAAAAGAGTATAAAAATACGTTTCTTTAGTATCTATTTTTTTTTTAATACCAAAAAATAAGCTGGCTAAGGAACACCAGTGATAATTTTCTGATCCTGCTTAATTAGCAAACTCCACTACTTAACCTGCATTTCAATGACTTTTACATCCTTGTGTCATTTTTTTTCCCTCCATCACATCTCAGAGACTGGTATAAGCACTAAGGTGATATCCTCAGCCAGTGGGAAACTGAGGAGGGAGCTGGAAGATTCAAACATCTCATCTTCAAGGATAACTGGCATGACTGCACTTCTGCATTCACAATTAATTTATTCAAAATCAAACCATCAGATTAAATAATAATAATAAAAAGTCCACTTGGAATTGCAACAGAAAATTAAAATAAAGCTAGAAGACAAGAATAAGCTCTTAGGCTTTAGATGAGATGCTGGCATACTAGAGCTGAATTATAGTGGAAATACAGTGGGTGCTGTGTAAGGCTTTTTGTCAGCCAAAACAGAAGAAAATCCCATCAACCTACACCAATACTCAGATTATCTTTTGCCTGGAAGGGATTTGGAGATCATACCAACACCAGAACTCATGCCAAAATCAAAAGCAGAATGCTGATTAGCAGAAATCCATGTTCTTGAGAGGCAGTACCTTCCACTCCAGTGCCTAATACAGTCTTCCAGTGCACAGTGAGCAGTATTATAAGCACAATGCCAAAAAAGAGCACTACCTAACCCACTTTATCAGTTTATAGTTCATGTGAGATCGGACAAGCTAAGACAAGACGAGATATAAGAGCCTACCATAAGCATGAATGTCATTTTTTCCTTTCACTACATAGAACTCATGTCCATATGCACAGCCAGATGGCATTCCATCCTGAATGCTGGAAAGAACATCATAGGAAACAAATTTAGATTAAACAGAAGGAGAAAACATCAAGAAAAAAACTGCCTTTCAGTCAATAAGCAAGTCAGAGTTCACAAGAGGATAATCATTTGGCCCCAGAAATGATGGAGACCAGTGAAGACACAGTAATCATAAATGTATCATTCCACTGAAAAACAGAATTTATCATTTTTATCCTCTTCTCACAAAACACACTACTCAGATTACTTGCTACAAGTCTCCTTTTTGAGCAAAAATAAAAACTTATCTACCACATGAAGAGTAGGTCTTTATTTTTACTAAAACAAGTAAAAGAAATTCTCTCTTTTTAAAAGAATTACTGATGTAAATGTTGGAGTGAATAAAGTTATGTATCAAATCTCAATGCTGAGAAAAGATTACAGTATACAGCAAAGATGGCAGTATGGAAAATCATTGAGTGCCACTTTTCACAACACGCACAGCACAAGTCAAACACTTCCAAGGCACAAAGTTGCATTAGTACCACCAAAGCCAAATGAATTTGTAAGTGCAATACGCCGCTTTCCAGTTTTCCATTCCTGAGCTGTTAATGGAACATAATTGAGATCAAACTCCGGCTCTGTTTTTTCTAAGTTTAAAGTAGGTGGCAAAATTGCATGGTAACAGGACAGCGCAGTAAAAGCTGCTTCAATAGCTCCTGCAGCTCCCAAAAGATGTCCTGTTGCTCCTTTTGTCGAGGAAACTGCAAGATTACGTGAATGATTTTTAAAAAGTTTCTTGATTGCTTGATTCTCAGCAGCATCTCCTAAAGGAGTAGAAGTTGCATGTGCATTGACATACGTTACATCTTCAGGCTTGATTCCAGAATCTTTTATTGCTGCAGACATACATCTAAGAGAAAACAAACAAACAAAAATCACCAGAATGCTGAATTTTCCATTATATTTTCATCATGTATTCAAACCAAAAGCAAAGGCACAGAGTGTCTGAAACTGTTTAGCAAATGTAGAAATCTGCAGGACATACTTTACTAGTTTTGAGAAGAGATGGTGTTCATCTAAGTAAACTAACATCTACAATTAGCCATTCAAGAAAGACAGCAGTGGTGAGGTCCACTATAGCATCAGATTTCCTACTAAAAACTTGGTTTAATTCCACAGTTGAGAAAAATACAAGCTGAAAGAAAGAAGATAAAACAATCTCTGCAGATGGCATTAGTATGTCAAAGTTCCTCTTCAAAGCAAAATTTTAAAACGTCTGAGAGGAATGACTACCTGAAATTTTTACAAAAACAAAGATTCCTTTCTGTGAAGTTTAATATTAAACAAGAATTGAAGATTAATATCAGTAGCTGATATTAATGAAACATTCAGCACAGTGCTCCACGAAATCCCCTTGGCTTTGTAAAGAAAAAGAAGATTCCCCAGTTTCTACCTTTTATTTATCATTACATTTACAGTATTAGGAAATCAAAATAAAAAATGCTCTATCCAAAGAAAATATTTGGAGATGCAAGAAATATTCTAACGTTGTACTCCTTTTGAGTGGTTTTTGCATGCTTTCAAAGGTGAGAAGATATCATCCACTTCCTTTCCCTAGAGTAGCAAGATGATTATCTAAATTCCTGCATATTAAAATGAAATTTACTGAATGTCACACTCATCCACTCTGATACCACACGTTCCATTGTGACTCCTGATTACCTGTGTACTACAATTGCCTGTATAAACCATGCTATTTTATTAAAGATACTGCTCCATAGTGTTGTTTTCTTCTATAGTTTCTCACAGACAGGTTCACACAACCCTCCTTGTGAAAGATCACTAATTCCTGAAATTTATGAAAACTAAGAAAGTAAAAGGGAAGTAAAACTAAGAAGTAAAAGAAAAAAGGCAGCACGAGCTGCTGGAGAAACTGAAATGTCTCCATTACAGCCTTCTACTCCCAGAAGCATCCAGCTTAGTTTAGGTTGTAGTTCAGTGATTCTCATTGTCACTAAACAGTAAGCCAGAATTCAGACAAAACAATTACTGATCAACACTGAGGGAAATTGATACATTAATTTAAAGCTGCAAGGAACATAATTACTTAAGGAGATAACAGATTATTGTGTAGAATACACTTCATAGACACACTTCTGAGTCTGGCCTTGCTTCTCCTGCCCTGTTAGGTTCATTCCAACATGTTTTAATCTCCTGAAGTAGTTATTAGAAGAGGACAAGATATATATTCCCCCGAAATTTTCTGATGTGGCAAATAGAATTCCTACGGAGAAGTAAGAGAAGCATACACATTTCAAATTTGATTTACATACGACTGCAAAACACAAATATTAGTATGAAAATTGTATTAAAATGTATTATCTCATCTCAAGGGTAGAAGTGCACAATATTTTGGGGATAGTAAGACTAACTTTCAGCTACTTCCTACCGTGAATTCAATTTATTTGCTATTGCAATCGTAAAATATGCAAAAACTCTATTACAAAATATTGCTGTATCATCTCAAGGGTAAACACAAGTCTGAAAATCTCAGGTAAGAAACTCATGATTACTCAATTCCCAGCTAAGTCGGTAGAACAATAAGCTATGAATCGTAGCACAGAGGGAAATCTGATATATTACACCTCCTGAAAAATTTGTTTATCTAGCAAAGATACAAACTCAGCTTTACAATACCATGCAGAATCTTGATCCATTTGCACAGTGATAGATTGAATTCTGATATCAAATATTCACATACATTCAGGATAACACAGACTACTGGATACTTCAAACCTGCAGTAACATTTGGCCTACATAAAGCTCACAAACAATAAATATATGTCTAATTCAACTCATAATTAGTCCAACTATAAAGATTAGATAAATACTATCTATAATACTAATCTAAAATATCTAAACTATAACTATACCTAAAATATCTAACTATATCTAAAATATCTAAACTATAACTATCTAAAATACTATCTATTCCACTTATTCACTATTTCTTATGAGATTAACAATAATGAAGCTTTACCATCTTGCTAAATCGTGCATTTCTGCTATGCAGTTTCACCAATACTGTTAACCAGAATTAAGTATTTAATCATGATTGTACCAGAGCCAAACTATCTAAATAATTTCCCCACAAAGAGTCACAGATTTTTCTAATCCCCAATAATCACTATGAATGCTAATAGTGGTTATTCTAGTAAAATCTTCCAAGCATATTATAATAAACTAGATCCTCCTCTTATCATGTGGCATTTCTTAGGGAATGTTATTCCACTTTAAGAACATAACAAATGACGTGGCCTACTTTTGCAGTGAGGTTTCTTTTCTCTACAACAACTTCAAAAGTTTCTGCAGTATCACAAGGTCTTGTGATAAACAAAAGGTTTCCATTGGGACTCATTTGTGTGAATAGCTGAAGGCAAAAAATGTAAGATGTTTTCACATGGAGAAGACTTTCACCAACAAAAAGGTTGATTATAGCAAGAAGTGGCCTTCATCCAATTTCTTTAAAAAACAAACAAACATTGTGGAATGTTTTACTGAGCTGGTAAAATGCATTTTCTCAGCTATTGGAATATTAATTCAAGACTGAATAGCATTTCCCTAGAAAACCTACAAAGCAACAGAAATATATGTAGCCTTTATAATTAATACATGAGGCAACTAACGTAGTCAACATATAGCTCTTACCTGAATGCACCATCTCCCTCCGGATTAGGTGCTGTTATGTGGCAAGCATCACCCGACAGTCCATAACCTAAAATTTCTGCATAGATCCTGGCACCTCTCTGCACAGCATGTCCGTACTCTTCCAAGACCAGCACTGCAGCACCTTCTCCCATTACGAACCCTTCTCTCTGTGAATCAAATGGCCGACATGCCATTTTAGGTCTTGTGTTAAAACTAGTGCTTAGGGCCCGAGCTCTTGCAAACCCAGCCAAGGACAAAGGACTAATGCAAGCCTCAGTCCCTCCAGCCAACATGACATCAGCATCACCCAAGGCGATAAATCGAAAGGAGTCTCCAATAGCATGCGCGCCGGTGGTACAAGCAGTTGACACGGCATGATTTGGCCCCTTCAGTTGGTATTTAATGCTGATCTGACCTGCTGCCATATTGACTAAAATCTTTGGGACAAAGAATGGGCTGACCTTGTTATAACCCTTTGTTTTAAATAAAGCGGCTGTATCAGAAATCTCTTCCAGTGGAACCATTCCCATTCCAATTGCCACACCAGCTCTTAAATGGTCCTGTTCAGACTGTGGAGACCAGCCAGAGTCCTTCATTGCCAGCTCTGCTGCACCGATGGCCATGACAGTAGCAGAACTCATGGACCTGATCTCTGACTTTGAAACAAAGCTCTCTTCTTTGAAATGGCCCTCTTCATCTCCCCGTGGCACACAGGCAGCTACTCTACATGGAATGCCCGCGTATTCTTCCCCATCTAGTGATGCAATCCCACTGTCTCCTTGGAGAAGGTGCTTCCACACAAGCTGAGTCCCCACACCGAGAGGAGACACCAAGCCAATACCCGTAACAACTACTTTCCTTCGACACGCAGGCAGTGACTTGCTGAAAGCTCTCCTTTGATTTCTTAAAAGCAGATTCAAATTCAGACTCCGGAGATGAAGATTTGCAATCTTTAACAGCTCCTGCGAGCACTGTGAGAACATGGTGGAAACCAATCAATCTGTGCACATTCCTGTAGCTGCAGGGGGAGGAAGAAAGGCACAAACACAACAATAGTTTTATTGTTGACAATGTAGTAGACAATAGTAGACAATGTGAGAAATGTTCTGTCCTGGTTTACCAGTATTCCATATCATGACATCATGCGACAGTTTGGGTGCAGAAAGAAGCACTGGGCACTGCAGAGTTGTGTCTCCTGGTTTCTCTAGCAGCCTCACACAAGTTTTGATTCTCCAAGAGTAAGACATACTGGGATGTACTGCATTTCCCAGGAGCCTCCACATGATTTTTTGTGTGACAGGGGAAGACCTCTCTTGTCTTTTCCAGTACATACGCAGTGGAGGGCCTGTCTATAAGGACTCGCACAGGTTCGCTCTCCTCTGGATCCATTTTTGGTTCATTTTGATTTATTACTCTTAATTATTCTGTATTAGCTCACATTTCTTTTAATAAATTAGTTTATCCTATATTTTTGCACTCTTCCTTTCCTTCTCTTCTCCCAAGGTAAGGGAGAAGTATCCTGTGATTAACTCTTCAAACTACAGAACATGCCAAGTCTGATCTTGCCAAGTTAATAAGCTGCTCTTTACACAAAACCCTAGTGTCAACACTGCAGGAAGAGATGTAATTTCTATGTCTGTCATTGGAAGTAGTGTGTGACACCTTTGTGGGCTGCAAGGCAATCACTGGTTTTGCTGAGAACTTGCCTCAGAACTACCAGCTGTCTGGAAATACCAACAATAAGCATACATAACTTCATCCTTCTCAGAGAGACCTAAAATGTCCTAGCATCGCCATGGTAAGGATGCCACAGTATTACCCTTACGTCAGCCAGAACAGGCTAAAAAACAAGGTAACAGCACTATTAGGCCACAGGTCAGGAGTTGGATCTCTTCCTGCCACAAACACAACCAGGCATCTTAGACAGTCTCCTCACCATCCTATCTCCACCCATGCTTCATAGAATCATAGAATGGCCTGGGTTGAAAACAACCACAGTGATCACCTAGTTTCAACCCCCCTGCTATGTGCAGGGTCGCCAACCACCAGACCAGGCTGCCCAGATCCACATCCAGCCTGGCCCTGAAGGCCTCCAAGGATGGGGCATCCACAACCTCCTTGGGCAACCTGTTTGAATGCATCACCGCCCTCTGTGTGAAAAACTTCCTCCCAGTATCTAACCTAAACCTCCCCTGGCTCAATTTAAAACTGTTCTCCTTTGTCCTATCACTATCCACCCTCATAAACAGCTGTGCCCCCTCCTGTTTATATGTTCCCTTCAAGTACTGGAAGGCCACAATGAGGTCTCCCCGAAGCCTTCTCCAAGCTAAACAAGCCCAGTTCCCTCAACCTTTCCTCACAGGAGAGGTGCTGCAGCCCTCTGATCAGCTTAAGGGTATTCAGAGTAGGGTGGGGACAGTACCTCCAATGGATGCACCACAGCAGCACCTTGAAAGGCTTATAAAGTGAAGGAAAAAAACAAAAACATTTTGGATTGCAGTCATTTTTTCAGTTGTGCAGACTGACATCTCTACATTGTGATGTTTACACTTATAATCTAATAGAAAGATAACGATTATACAGACAAATGACATTCTAACACTGCTCTGCCAGAAAGCAGCTTTCCAACAGTGCCACAGCACTTACACCATACCCCGAGATCTGGCTATGAACTATCTGACTGCTGCCATGAAACATACGGCCTGCAGCCATCCCAGCTCCCATGGATGTCACACCATGGGAACTCCCCATGATGCCAAGTGAGGGCAGAGGGCTGCTGCAGAGCAGCACTTCAGGCAGGACACACTGGGTGCAAGGAGCGGGCTGAGCAGCGTGCCGCAGTGCTGTGCCCTTCTCGCTCCCAGTTACATACATCCAACACATGAGAGCAGAAGGGATTTGCCTCTTTGCAGAAGTAATTACTTGTCCCCAGGAAAGGACTCTTTAACCAGCAACAACCCAGGGGTCAAAGGTGGAACCCACACAGCCACGTGGGCTCTGCGCCACAGGGTACGCACTGGTAAAATACACAGCATTTGGTAAAGTACTTAGAGATGAACCGGGAACACGTCGGCATAAGGGAAATGCACTTCTAGCAAATAACAGAGACCTGCTCTATTCCCTCGCAGCAAAACGTGCGTAGCAGCATTTCTGGCAAATAAAAAGCCAACAGTGCTTACTAACGTGCACAGGACGTTAAATCATAATCCGAATTTGTCGGTTTAAATTATCTTTACCCAGTTAGCCTGGGTTTCAGGTAAAGAGCGGAGAGATAATGGAAGGAATCATTAAACCAGCGCACGTCTAACAGCCACGGCTCCTGATAAAAGGCAGCTCGTCTTCAAGCAATTAGAACGGCTAATCTGCGGAAAAGCAAAGGGGGATTCACTTCTCCCAGGGACCGCAGCTGATTTTACACCCCTGGCCGTTCCTAATATTCGACGTGGTATTCAAGTCGCCCTCGGGCTGCAGCCACCCCGCGCCTGCTCCGCGCCCCTCCCGCCCGCCGAGCCCTCGCGGTACCTCCGCCGGCCGCGCTCCCCCCCGCTCAGCTATGGTTGGCTCCGCCTCCCTCCTCCGTGCCGCCGGCGCGGGGCCGCACCACTCGGGACGGGCAGGGGGGTGGGCATGCGACGGCTTCGTAGTCGATCCCCGATCGGCGGAGAGAGCGAATCGGTGATTCGGCGATGGGCTGCGCGGCCGCCACGGGCGCTCCCCGCCCACGGGGCCGCGACTTCGGCGCTGTGACCGCGCAGGCGCGCTGCGGCTCTCGCCTGGCGCAGAGCGGGGCTGGAGGCGCAGGTCGTTGGGAGCCGGGGCGATGGCGGGCTCTGCGGGTCTCTCCCTGCCGTCGAGCTCCCCCGCCGTCAGAGAGCTGTGCAAGAACGCGCGGGACACCTTCCTGGAGGCCTCTCGGCTGCTCCTCACCTACGCGGACAACATCTTGCGGTGAGCGGCGTCCCGTCCGCTCCCCCCCCGCCCCTCGTAGGCACCCTGCCGCGGCCGGGGCCGTGACTGATGTCCAAATTCTGGATGGGTGTTGTATGCCGCGTATGTGGCGTGGATGAAACCAAACACTTGAAAAAGCGTCTTGCAAACAGCCGGTGCCGCGTAGTGTAGGTCCCCTGCTTCTCAGTGTTTTCTTTAATTTGCAAACTTAATTAAAACTTTCGATTTCTTCAGAAATCCTTATGAAGAAAAATACAGATCAATTCGGAATGGAAATCCAGCGTTTTCCACGAGGCTGTTACCTGTCAGAGGAGCAGTTGAGTGTTTGTTTGAAATGGGATTTCAAGAGGTGAGTATAATAATTTCTGGAGCCTTCATCACTTTGCAAACTAAGATTTAAAATTGCTTTCTTCTTTCCCAGCACAGTAGATGTTAAGCCAGGGTTTGTTTTGTTTGTTCATTATCCACTTTTCTTTGCAAATGTCAGTTAGCCAACAGAGAACTTAGGTGAGGCTGCTCCAGAAATCTAAGCAAATCTAATCTTTAATAAGGTTGGTTTTCTGCCTCAGTGGCAGAATATCCTACTTGCTGTTGTAATGGCCATCAGTATATCCATGCTGGCACAATGAGAATGATGGGGACACAAGTGGAAGCCCCCAGGTTTATTAAAAGCCCACTGTTAAATGGATGACAAACTGTATCCTCAGGCTTTAGTTTCCATATTGTTAAAAAAAAAAATAAATCCTGTTTTCTGCTGCTTGTTCCCACCGCCAGTATGGCTTATGTGGTCCTATAGTAAGTTATATAAGATAGCTGATCTTGTTGAAAACTGTTTCATTATTTTGGGGGGATTGGTTTTTAGCCAGTTCACAGTGCAGCTGCACAAGTACTAGCGTTGTTGTGACAGCTGTGAAAAGGGCAGCAGATTATTGAAGTAGTGAGACGGTGGGACTTACGTAGTTAAATAATTATGAAACTGCTTCTTAACATTGTCTCAAGTGAATATTGATTCTGTTGCAGTCATAAACATGTATTTCAAAGATTGCTTTGCATGCTGAAATAGTCTCTGTCTTAATATATTTTAACTCCAAAGCTTCTTGAGCTAGAATCAACCTTCGTATTTACAGCAGTGCTGGGGTGAAAGAAATAACTTTTGCTTAATGGTGCAAAGATCTTGCTCTAGCTTTGCTTTATTTTGTGTGTTTCATGCTGCAATTGTGTGTGGGTACATATGTTGTTATGTAGGTCTGGTTGTCATGAGATACTTTCTTCTGTTCTGGTGAAGTCCATTATTTATCCTAATTTTAGGAAATAAATAAATGCATGCAGAAAGAAATGGTGACTTCAGAGGAAGAAGTGATCTGTAGGTTTATTTGCAGGCTGATGCATAGGAGATTACTTTGAAACAACATGTTGTTTTAGCCAAGATGTAGTCAAGCAGGGAGGGAAGCACTCAAGCAGTAATAGCTTAGTCATTTTCAGGCCTATTGTAAAATGCTACTTCCTCTTCTGTCAGATCTTTAAGAGTCTCAGTCTTCTGATTATAGTGCCAGCTGAGGCTGGAGTTCACAAACTTTTCTCCAACTATAGTAGGTACAATTGTTCTTTTTTTTGTCTGCCTGGTGAGCTAACTTAATTTGAAAACAAACAACAAAAAACAAACAAACAAGGACTTCTGGATTCCATTTAGTTTTGTGGTGATTTTATGTGCAAAAGCACTGCATCTACATGATGAGTGCCTAAGTGTGGGTAAAAACATTACTTGGTTTAATAAATAGAAGTGCTGTAACCTTAGAGACTGAAACTTTTAAACTATGAATGTTTCAGGGTATTCATGTTTTTAGTAACATATTAGTACACATAAGTGTACTGCTACTGATTCCATCCTAATTACTGTTATTTTTTTTAATTGTAGTCAGCAGTAATCATGTTGCAATCAAAGATAGGAACTCACCACTCCAGCTGGGTACAGTTCTAAACAAGAAAAACATTTCCCATCTGAAAACTTAAATATGAGTATAAAAGATAACTACAGGGCTTATTCTCCAAATGCTGGCTATCCTCTTGTGTTGCATGGTATTTCACTGATGTACTGTGAGAACTGAGTGTTTTGTTTTCTTTTTTGTTTCTGTTGCTGCTGCTTGCTCTGCCAAACTGCTTTTGTTGTAGATGTGTTAGTTTGCAAAATAAGTTGTTTATGAAAGTTATTGTAACAAAGTGTTATTGTGACTGCTTTTCCTCTAGGCTGACCATAGGTACTTCATTTTATAGCTTCTGCTTTGAAAAATACAAGTTTCTGCTGTAAGGAACCCAATCTGAAGGTGAAGTCCTGTGAAGTCTTAGTGGGCTAACTTCTAGTAAATGATATAGCTGTTAGTCGCTGTCCTGTGTCTATTGCTGGCTTAGACCTGTGTTAACTGCTGTATTAATTTGCCTAAATTTCAGGGAGAAACTCACATGGTTTTCCCAAAGGAGGCATCGATTGAGCAACTACGTAAAATCAGAGATCTAATTGCTGTAGAGAGGAGTAGCAGGCTGAATGAGTCGAATCAAGTCCACAGATCAGGATCCTCTGAAACTGTAGCCAGCGCTCAGACAATTGCACATCAGCCTTCAAGACCTGTTGGCTCTGTCCCTGCCCCTGAACATCAGCAGCCAGAAACATCACTTCTGCAGTCTCTCAAAATGGTAATCGCTACTTGAATACTTTAGAGAAGCACTAATCTGAATATAAAGTTTGAAGGAGTCAACTGTTGGAACAGATTGCTCAGGTTGTGTAATCTCCAAATGTGAATTTTTGTGATCTGGCTGGATAAAGCCTTGAGCAAGTTGGTCTGACCTCATAGCTAGCCTTGTTTTGAGAAGGAACTTAGACTAGTGGTTGGCTGGTTGTTTCTTTAGATCTTCATCTTTTAGATGCTTAGATGAAGCATGCCATAAGTAGAATATTAGCAAGAGATTTTGTTGAAGATGTCTATAGATGTGTTTTATTGATCAGGTCATCATGAAAAGTAGCTGATTTGTATTGGAAAGTGCAACATGGGGGAGCAAAGAAGCAGAGGTTAAAACGGTGGTATTTGTCTGAGAGCCAACAAAAAAACTGACATGTATGTTGTCTCCATTTTAACTGGATCTATTTCCTTTTTAGTGTCTGATATGATGCTGTATAATCAATGGATATCAAGATGTTACAATCACAAAATAAACAAGAGAGTTAGGCGAAGTGGACTATGATAACAAGAGAGAATAAATAGAAGGCTTACCCTTATGCTGGGCTCACCACAAAACACCAGAAGGAGGGATCTCCAGACAAGAACCTTCTCCACTGGTAGCCAGCTCTTAAATAGGTCTAGGAGGGCTGGAGCCTGGCTCCACCCCTTCCAGCATTACAGGAGAATTGCCTTCACCTGTGCTCCTCTGGCTGACTCAGTGCTTGCCTCAGGTGATCAATCAGAGGTTCAGGCCATGACTCAGCAGTTCCCATACGGATGCTATGTTTTGGTTCTAGGAGAAAAATGATGTGCAGTCAGTATTGATAGTTCCTGCTAAACAGTGTTGTACAGAGCCAAGGCCATTCCAGTTTCTCAGCTCATAGTAACAATGGACTGGGAAGGTACAAAATCAGGCTTAAACTGGCCAAAGGGATGTTCTGTGCCATGTGGCATAATGAAGAAGGAGAGTTTTGAAGGGAGTGAGGGTTCATCTCGCTATCCCCCACATCTGACAGGGCTAGCTGGGCATCAGTTGGTGGTGAACAATTACTTGTGCATCACTTGTTATATATGCATATATATATATATACACACACATTTGTCATAATTATTATTATTATCCTGTTATCTTTTTCTCTATCTTAGTGAATGGTTTTATCTCAACCCACAAGTTGTGCTTTGTTTTTTTTCCCCTTTCAATTCCCACCCCCATCCTCCTGGGAAGGGAGGGCTGTGTGATTCTCAGCCACCTGCTGAGTTAAACTACAACATACATTTATCACTGTTGACATCTCAGTTCACGCACTGTGACCTGTATTTGTAGACTGTAAGGGTGAGGCGATAATTTAGCAAGGCAAATAAATTTTATTTTCAGTTAGGCTGAGATGAAGTTCTCTGGTGATAAAGAAGCAGAGCCCTCCTTTCAGCTGATGTTACTTTGGCCTGGCAAGAGAAGACTCTTAAGACCTCATATTACTTTAGAAAATGAAGCAGTTATACTGTTTGATAGAATGTTGAAGGGTGCTTTATTTGAACTCTGAAGCTTTCTCCCTTAGAACCATTATCTTTGGTCTTAAATAAGTTGGTGCAAGATGAATTCTTCCAAAAGCTTTCTTACGCATCCTTCAGCAGAATTTGTTTATTTTAAATGAAATTATTTGTATGTTGTTGGATGCTGAACTGTGACGTGCTGTTTCTTACCTATCCAAAGATTTGGGTCAGGGAAATGATGCCACATGGGTTCGAGTAAGCAGATAGAATGATTGGATGTACTTTACTTTTGGTGTTTCACTTCTGCTTATTGTGTTTTACTGAGTTATTCCCTTCTGTAGTGGTAGTTGGAAGTGGTTATGAAACTTCTGGAGAGGCTTGCTTTAGTCAGTGCATTTTTCTAGTTTTCTTGTGATTCAGCATGAGTGGTGGGACCAAAACTTAATACAGTTTAGAGACAATTATTGCAATGGTTGTACTCCATTAGAAATCATAGAATCACAAGGTTGGAAAAGACCTATAAGATCATCCAGTCCAACCGTCTCCTCATCACCATTACCACCACAAGCACTAAACCACATCACGCAGCACGTCGTCCAGACGCCTCTTAAACACTGCCAGGGACGGCGACTCCACCACCTCTCTGGGCAGCCATTCCAGTGCCTGACCACTCTCTGAGAGAAAAAGTTCTTCCTTATGTCTAAGATCTGTCTTTGCTGATTATTTTTTTTTCAAGAACTTATAATCAATCTGAACCTATTGAATTTTGGTCTATTTAATGTTAATTGGAATGAAGTCTGCAAGATACCTTCTGGCTTTGCCATTTTGTGTGCACAGGAAGAGGTGTTTTGTTTTTTCAGTGAGCTGTTGTATTATTGTACACAATGTTGTCTGATACCAGAGAGATTTAGGATGGTCTTTTTAGTGAAAACACTTTTATTTCTTATGTGTTGCACCTGTGATTCATGGGAGTCTTGCTATATTGTATTGTATCTCAAGAAATAATGGAATTTTTGATGAAGCCAAGAAGCTAGTTAATAAGGTTAATAAGACTAAAGACTGAAGCATGATCTATTGTTAGAGAATGGGAAAGGCTGAATAACTTGGGTCAGTTCAGCCTGGAGAAAAGAAAATGGGTGGGAGGAGGGGGAGTGGGGGTCTGATTAATGTTTATAAATATCTACAGGGAGGTTGGAGGCAAATGGATGAGGCCAGGCTCTTCTCAGTGGTGTATGGTGAAAGGACGAGAAGCAGTGGCCTAAAACTTGAACATAGGAAGTTCCATATGAGCAGGTGGAGTAACTTATTTACAGTGAGGGTGACAGCTCTGGAACAGGCTGCCCAGAGAGGTTGTGGAGTCTCCTTCTGTGGAGATGCTCAAGACCCATCTGGACCACTGCCTGTGTGATCTATTGAAGGCAACCTGCTTTAGCAAGTGGTTGGAGTCAGTGATCTCTTGAGGTCCCTTCCAACACCTGTAACTCTATGGTTCTGTGATTTTTATACTTTAAATATAAGGCTTGGAAAGCAGGGGGGGAGAAGGATGGGTTAAAGAAACTTCAAAAGTTTGTCAGCAGAGTTGTCTTTTAAAAATTCTTCTTTGTCCTGACTCTAAGGATAAAAGTACTAAGGATAAAAATAATGCAACCGTGACTATAGGACTGTGACTGATTTGAGCTAGATGGAGGAGCTTGGTTCTCCTGGTTAAAGATGGAGGTTTATAAGCCATTTTGTAACTGAAAATCCTTTTGCAGGCTGCAGATATGTTGACAACACTTCAAAGCAAATGTGAGCATCTTATATTAGCATATGAGAATACTTCTCTTCAGCGGAAAGCACTAGCTTTGATTCCCCTCCAGCAATTGAAAGAGAAGGCTCAGAAAAAGCTAGCACAAGCTGCAAGCCTGGACAAAGGTAATGTTGCAATGTATATAGAAGCAGAAATATTCTTTCAAACATCTACCATTCTTTAGGTGTGGGTATTGGTCACACATACGCAGATTCCAAATGCTGTTTCTGTGTTAAAATTGCTCTCTTACTCATTACCAATTTTCAAGTTTTCTATTCTTTTCATATTTTTTACTATTTAATTTACTACTGATTTTTATTTTTCTGATTGTTTTTATTCATCCGTTACTATTTTCATGTGGAAATGTTGAAGTCTTAATTTCTGAATTAGCAGCTAGCTATGAGCATCTAGAGTGAAATAACTACAAAAGGGAAGCGAGCTATTTTTATTTATAGTCATCACTTTGAAATGTCAGAGTTGTTCTTTTCTGTCAGTACTACAATTCCAAATTCAGAAGAATTCCAAAATACTGTTTCTCTGTTTAAAATCATATTATTGGTGAGATCTTGCTTTTGGCTTTCCCAAAACACAATCCAGTATGAGAAGAAACACCATTCTTGCAAATGCTAAAATGAATGATTGTTCAAATGCCATTCTCTTTGACCAAAAGTGATGCATGAGCATAAATATTTGTAGCATCAGTAGCTAGCATTTATGAAGAAAACAAATCTTAATTTCTTTTGAAGGTGCAAGTGTTTGCCAGTTGAAAATAAGCCATTTTAACTAAAGTTTAAATTTGTTTCATTAATATAGTGAAATTTTATTTGTACAAGATTATATATATTTTTAATGGGCTTTCAAGACCATGTTTTGATTAAAAAAAATCTTTTTCACTGTGAATCTTTGATAGAGGACTTTAGAGAAATTCTAGCTTGATGGGAATGCAAACCAAAGGGGATCGCAAACCAAAGATAAGCTCTTCTCATCATTTCTCGGGATGGTTTTGTCTGATACAGCCACACTAATCTGTAATACCTTTGTCATAAGTGAACCTTTCTTGGTTTTTGGTTTTTTTTTTTTGTAACAGAATTCTGGGGAGCAGTAAACTACATAGGTAATTAAAAAGCATTTTCAGTCAGCACTGTAGTAAAATACAGTGATGAAGAAACTTATTTAAATAGTTTTTATTTATTACGTATTTAAAAAAACCAAATGTTCATATTAGATTAATGTTCATCATTAGACATATTAGACCCATATTAGTTCAATTCTGTTGTATACACTATTTTGAAAGCAAGGAAGAAAGGACGGTGGTATTTTCAGATGCTTCTTCCCTAGACATCAAGCTGGTCTATTCAAAATTATTTCCAGAACTTCATTTAGATAAAAATAAAGGGGAAAAGAATGGAACCTCCACCATTCTGGAGTTATAAAACTTGAAGCCATTTTTAAGAGCTTTAGAGACAATCTCCTTTGGAAGTGTACTGCATATGAGATTCATGGCTAACTGTCACTTTCAGCTTCTTCAGCTTATGTGTATTGCTGGGTTAAGGCTGTTACCTGCGGGAATGACTGTGTGGTGCTAGGTGGCATTTGCTTTTAGGACTTCTTTTAGCAGACATCTTAGGATTTTGCCCTTAAAGACTGTGTTAGGAAGGTTATTGTCATTTGAGCAGAAGTACGAATTTCTGACTATTTCACTTCATCTCTTTCCATTAGAAGGATTGATTGTGCAGTTGAAATTAGCTGGCCGTCACAGACAGCTGTTTTCTGTTCAAGTACATCTTATTTGTCATTCTTTCATGCAGTGTTTTTATGAAGGACCTATTTACAAGCAGAAGAATATTGATATAATAGTGGTTATATTTTCATAGGTGGATTCTGGCTTACATGTTGCAGCCCATGAAAAGAGCATGTAGCCTGTGCTCAAAATCTTCTGCTCTTAGAAGGAAGTTTGAGCACGTAAGCCTACATTTTGAAAGCAGTGATGCAGTAAAATTGTCATTGTTACTTAATTAAAGTCAGTCTGAAGTCTCTGTTTTTTTGGTTTTGATTAGCAGATGATCTTCTCTTGGCAATGTGTGTTTAATGAAGTTAGGAGTCCATAGTGCTCTTCAGCAGGCAGAGTACTTCAGAGGAAGATATGAGTTGAATTTAGATAAAATATACATCTCATCTATTCCTTCTTCACTATCCTGAAAAAGAAGAGTGCACAATTTGGTGCAATTTCCTTTAAACAGTGTTTTTCTTAAATGCTTTTTGTCTTCATGAGTGCAATCTGTCAGCACTGTGTCTATAAGCAAACTGTAGTACAGAAAGTAAACACATATTAGTAGCTATGATTGTAGTGTGGTCACCTAGATGGTGGAGTTAATAGGAAGACTTGCTTTAATGTTTATGATTCTGAGGAGGAAGAGGATGTACTTTGGACATTAGAGCAGGATATACCTTTAAAGACTGTATAGAGTTCAAAAAAATTGATCTCTTCTTTTAGAAGGCTGGATTTTATAACTTCAGGTAGAGTGGGATTATTTCCAAATGGCAGAATAGCAACAGTGTGTGAGAAGACACCTGTTGTGAGCACAGGACAAAGAATCAGAAGAGTCTGATGTGGGAGAATCAGAGTAGAAAAATAGAGACGTTCATTTTGAGTAAGCTGACAAAACTCTTTCTTGATGAGGTTATAAACAAGCTTATCTTTACTTACCATGCATGCATACTTTGTTGTAATTGACTTTCTGCAAGCAGCTTATATTACATCTGGCTGGCTATACTGCTATCGGTATCTGTTTATTTGAGATCAAAAGCAATTGTTATTCCTAGTTCAATAGCAAAGAACAGAAAGAGAATACTTAGGAGAAAAAGAAAAGTTAGTATAGCATCTCTTCCGTAGCCCTAGAGGAACATGAGAGGCATGAGGAAGTTCACCTGGCTTCACTGTATGTCTAACTTGTTCTTCTGAGAATTTCCTAATTCTCACTCTAGACGTAGTGTCTGGGAGTGCAGATTTTTGCTCCTGAAATACAGTTTGCCATTATTCAGTCTTCACTTAGATTTTCTCTCTGGAGTGTTTAAGCAACATATGAACCTTTTTTTTAATGAGACTTCTAAAATGTAATACAGGTCCAAGAAATGGTGATCTAGGTAGATACTGTAAAATTAAGCTAAACTCTTGTTTTACTATTTGATCTCAGCTTGTGTAAATTCTACAGGTGAACATGTGAATGAAGAGGACTTCCTGTTGTTGGAGCTCCTGAACTGGTTTAAGAATGACTTCTTTCGTTGGGTAGATAATCTGCCTTGCAGCAGGTGTGGTGGCCAGACTGAAATTAAAAGAGACTACCTCTCACCAACTGATGATGATCTGAAGTGGAATGCTGATAGAGTGGAAAATCATTACTGCAGCCAGTGTCAGTTCTGTAATAGATTCCCAAGGTGAGCAGTCAAAGATCTGTTTTGCTTTTCTTCATTTCTTTTGTGAAACACCTTTGCACTTATGCATTTTATGAACGAGTGGTAAGTTGCTGGATCAAACATTAGAGAAGCTTTTATAAGTAGTGTGATCAGATGGTTGATGAAACAGTGACACCTCTTTTACAATTTTTTAAGAAAGATATATTGCTTTCATTTACATGGCTTTGCTCTGAATGTATGCCTGATATTTTTTTCTGTTATATTGATAAAGTTCAGTTTCTAAATAAAGTATGTTAATATTGGCATACTATTACTTTTTTTTTATTATTTTTTTCAGTATTTCAAGAAATGCTGTTTCACTCCTTTAGTGATCTCCCAAATAAGATAAAGCAGATCTTCTGCTGACTTTGTAGCAGGAGAGCAAATATCCTATTTTTAGATACTTTTGCAAACAATCAAAAGGACCACCATACAAGAGTCATATTTTTAAGCTGAAGTCTGAGTTAATCTAGAGAACTAAAAAATCAGATTAATTTCAGTATTGTTATGAACAGGTGATAGACTCATCAGACTCAAAGTGAAAGTAGCATTCTGCTCATACTTGTTCTGTGCAATGCAGCGATCATTTCCATTATCTTCTGTGAACTGAATGGCACTAAAGTCTGTTTAAATCATTTTAAGGGCAATCGTGATGTAAATATTTTGAAAGATGAAATGTTTTCCATTATTCTGCATTTTTTTTTTCTCTCCACTAGGTATAATAATCCAGAGAAACTTCTGGAAACCAGATGTGGACGCTGTGGCGAATGGGCTAACTGTTTTACACTGTGTTGCAGAGCTATGGGGTTTGAAGCTAGATATGTCAGGGATTGGACAGGTAACAGTGCAAGAGAACATATTATTTCAATACAAGCACATGCAAAATGAGACAAAATGTTATGGTTCTAAGTTTGTGTTAGTCAATCAGGCAGCATGTAAAGTTAGGTAGTTTAGCTAAAGAAGGAATATAAATTGTTTCCCCTCTTGTTTGAGTGAAATACAGTGTAACTAAGGAGAGATGTCTGACTGCAGGGTGTTAGTATTTTGTTGAATCAAAGGAAACATGATCCTAAGGTAGAAAGAAAATGCTCTGCTAACTTGTCTCAATATAGATTAACAGAAATATATTGTCTTACCTGTTCGTTTTATTTCATAAGTAAGGAAAAGTTTCATTATTCTGGGCCATTAGAGAGGATCTATTCCTGTAATTCACTGCCTACTTTTGGCCTATGTTATATAGATCATGTATGGACTGAAGTATATTCTGCGTCTCAGAAAAGATGGCTTCACTGTGATCCCTGTGAAAATGTCTGCGATAAACCTCTCCTCTATGAAATTGGTTGGGGAAAGAAGCTTTCCTACATAATTGCATTCTCCAAAGATGAGGTAGGAATGGTGATTTAAAGAAACAAAAAAAGTCCTGTTCCCTCCCCCACAAAAAACCCAACGCATTGCCCAGGGGCAAGTGTGTGAAGTATTCCATCTTAATGTGATTTCCAGAATTATGAGATCTAAAAAAGTACTTTGAATAGTTAGATCAAGTTATCTCTTTAAATCAAGAAATATGGGAGTTTTGATTGCTCTGTTTTCTTCGTCTTGTGTTTGAGGTTGTTGATGTCACATGGAGATACAGCTGTAAGCATCAAGAAGTACTCACTAGAAGGACAGCACTCAGTGAAGCTAAACTGCGTGAAACAATTAACGCAATCAATAGAAAGGTATGTAGCTTAAATAGACCACTGCAAGTGAAGTGTCTATTTTCAGAATGTGACATCCTGGAACAAAGGAATGCTTTGTACCTGTTAGGAATGTCCTTGCTTTATGGAAAATAAAATGTCATCAGCTGTTTCATTTGTGTCTCTCACTTCCTTCCTGGGCTAATTCCTTTGCATCAAAATGTTACTTCCTATGGTAAAGTAAAGCTGATGGCTCAGTAAACACCCCTTTTCTAGAGGCCAGCTGGCTTGGAGGTTACAGTCAAATTTTGTTAAAAGTGTGAAGAATTAAGAAATGATTTCAAAGCCCAGCTTCAAAACTTTTATCAGTAATGAAATATCAGTCTCATGCAGTGTGAAGTACTGAGAAGAGTGACCATGGATTAACAAAATTTAGGGAAGTAAAGGATCAGAAATTCAGATTGAAGAATGGATACACTTCAAAGGGTTGTAGGATTTGGTGCAGTCCTCTGATCATGAAACCCTTGTAGCTATAAAACCGATCTGTAAGGGCCTTTCTTCATATAATCTGGTTACATCGATCACTCAACTGCCTCTTCTCCACCAGCTGAGGAGAACCTTGGAAGCAGGGTGCTATTCCAAGTGTTAGAGGCTGTTACTGATGCAGAAGTTCTAAGGAGGAAAAAAAAAAAAAGCAGTATTGTTGGAATGAGGAAATTCTGTATGAATGTCTCATGGGCTGGTTTTACTGGCCTCCTCCTTGTTGATGTCACTCTTAAGATCGCACTCCGTTTCACTTCCAGAAGTCTAGAGCACCCCAGTAAAAGATGTGTTGGCATATCCAACAGATACTGCTATGTACGTTGGTCTTGTGGTCTGATTATTCTATCCATGTTTTTATGGATGCAGTTCATGAGCTGATGTGAGCATTTTTTGAACAAGAAATAGCGGGTGCTCCTGTTGTGTTTCAGATAAAATTTTCATTAAAAATTTATTACAAGGAATAAATACAGATATGCTTCCCCAAAACCCCTGGATTTCTCCTATCTTTTACCACACGTCGAAGATCTCGGACCTTTTTTGCTATGCCACATGCTTTTCCTACTGCTGCCTGGTAGTGTTAGAGCTTTCTCATTGGTCTAATAAAACACCTTTGTCAATCATTTTTAATGATCTCTTATTTTGATGAATAAATTGCCCTCTCTTTCTCCAAGCTAAATGATACTCACACTGTGCCTCCCACTTGCTTTCTTTTCCTCAGTAGCTTTTCAGGATAAAAGAAACAAAAGCAGGAAGCTTGAGCCATGATAATGAATAACGGAGTTCTTGGAATCCATTTCAGTACACAAATGTGCTGCCAACAGTGTCATTTGTAGGAAACTTAGTTACAGATTTTCCCCGTTCTATGCAGCGTTCATCTCTGCTGAGTCTGAGCATTATGCATATCTTAGTGCTGTTAGCAGCTATATGCAAAAGCCTGTTGGGAGGTGTGGGAGGAAGGAGCGGTGACAACAATTAGCACACTTTAGTACTCTTTGCCTTTTAGAGACTCCTGAAATTCTTGTGTCATATGTGGCTTGCCTTTGGAAAAAAGCAGTGTTCTTTGTCAACAATTTCCAGAAACTGTTAGGACAGCTGTAAAGCAGCAGCAGCCAATTCTTACTTTGGTATCACGAGTATCAGTGGTGGTAACCCCTGGCACTGGGCTTCCCTCAAAGTGGCTGAAGGAAAATAGCAGAGTGGAATTAATAGCGTAGGGTAAGCAATATCAGACTTCCTCTTGAGCTGGAGTGAGCTCTGTAGTACTTCATGTGGATGCCCACATACCTGGGCTAGTGGCAGTTTCAGGAAGATGTAGCATTTCACAAAGGATTGCTGGAGTCACTGCTCATCATTCAGTGGTTATATTAGAATTGCTGATTGGCAGCTGGTAACTAGCATTGTTTCTCATAATTTCTCTATGTCTGCTTTTTATTTCTTCATCCAGTTCTACATTGAAATTACATTCTCATAAGGGCCTATCAATTTTTTTCTGATTCCTAATAGCACAAATTTCAAGGTTCAGGACTGCTTTTTGGGATGACTGGAATAGTTGTAGACCAGAAGTTTCAGGCCTTAATGGGCTCAGTGTGCATGCCTTGTGTGATCACTTAAGTGGAAAATACATGTGTCACGTACTCAGTTTTGAACTTAACTTTCCCTTCCTGTGTAGGTGTAGCCATAGTTAAGGCTTCACCTATCACCTCTGTATGTTTGACATGAAAGCTGTGGCAGCTGAAACCTTGCCTCTTAATGATTTTTGTGTGTGTGTGTATGAGTGTTATCAGTGTGGTTAAAGACTGTTATAAAACTATTTTCATCTAAGTTTTGCTTAATTTACCTGGAAAAGGATTTTATTTTTTTTTTAAATCAGTTTTCTGATACCTGCAAAAATAGGAATGTATTAGTTTATTTAGGATGGAATCAGTCACTGTGAATTAATTCTTTCACAGACCAGCTGAATCTTTTGTTTGGATTTAATCGCAAAAGCAAGACTGCTGCCAACCAAATCACTCCACCTTAGGGAAGAAAAGTTTGAACCAATAATTATGCTTGCTTTCTCTCTAAGGTACAGAATAGCTATGAATAACTCTGAAATATGCTAAGTATTTCATCATCCAAGCAAATATAAACATAGCACAAGCCTTATTCTAAAATAAATCCACATAGTTAGGGCATGGAAGTTTACAGAAAAAGTACTAAACACCGTTGTCAAATAACCGTACAGTTATAACTGGTTTATGAACTGGTTATAACTGGCACATGTGGATTGAGATGAATGTTTCAAAGCATCAGTCTGAATTTCAAGTGTTGGCCTGTTTTTTCAAATTCTTTTTTTCCTGCTGGTGTCACTCTTGGGCTGTATTAAATATACATTTCTTTCTTATATGTATTTTCAGAAACAACAATCTTTGTCAGAAAGCAGAAAAAAAGAGCTCTTGGAAAGAACGATTGTGGAACTTGCTGAGTTCATTTCTCCTAAAACACCTAAACCCGGAGAATTTGGTGGAAGGACATCAGGTTCAATGGCTTGGAGAATAGCCAGAGGTGAAACTGGTTCAGAGGTATTTAATTTTTCCACTGGTGACCGTCCTAAAGGTAGCTAATTAGAAGTTCTGTGATTGTGGTCTGCAGAGGAATAGCGCTTCGTGAGTCAGTGGTAGGTGAACTAAAGATTATGTTCAAATAGTGAAACTTGGAAAAACATTAGGGGCAAGTTTGGTTGAATTCAGTAGTGGTACACTAGAAAGTTGAGGGTTGGTGGCTGTGCGTTGATTCAAAAAGTATTTGGGAATAACTGAGTCATGCCAAAGTATTACGTTTTGTACTTAAAATAAATTAATTAAAATAAATATTTGATTTTGATAAGTTGTGATGCAGTGAACTAGGAAGTTGTAGGGCAGGGAAAACTTTAAAAAGTATGTGGTTATATAGTTAGATGCTGTTGATTAAAGACTAATAGCAGGTTTTGACCAATTAGTTTTATTAACAAAAATGTGCGGAAACAGATAAGATTGTGAGAATGGAACAACCTTTCAAATAATAAGCCTGAACAGTTGTCTTGTCAATCTTTTTGACTGTTTCAGTTATCCTGAATTCTTTTACTGTAAGAGTTTCCCATAACCTCAGCTATATTTAGTTTGAGCTAGTGCGGAAAGGAGTGTCTTACCCCATCACTTTATATCTGGAACAACTGTCAGTCCTGAAGTGGTTAGGTGAAATTAACATGTTTCCTAACATTAAGTTTGAGGAACTAAGTTTATTTCAGTTTAGAAGGTATAATATTTATTTTGCTGGATTTTGTAAGAACAGTGGAGAATCTTTAAAAAATACTGTGAAGTTGTGGAGTTTGTAACTTAGCTTTTTTGAAATTGATTTGTAAACTTCCATGTACAAGCACCTGTATATGATAGTCACAGACTCTACATTTGATATTCTGGATAACCATTTACTTGTTGATTGTACAAAAAATAGAATTATACTCAATATTTTTTCTGTTCTTAACATATTACTCTTTTTTCTTTAAATTTGCGGATGATGTTATTTGTTCAATAATTTAATTGCAAAAGTAATAATATGAAAATTTTCAAAATGGAATTACTGCTCCTATCTGGAAAAGTGACAAGTCTGTTCTAGGAAAGTAGCTCAGAAGTCTTTGTTTTACATAAATGCAATGTGATTTTTTGGGGGCTTTTTTCAGTTGATATAAAAACTGAGAAGGGAAAGTGTGGTACATTGATTAAAAACAACGCCATCTGACTTGAAATATTTTGGGAAATTAATGTGCTTGTCTTTATGCCTTTTTCAGGAGAGGAAAGAAGTGATTTTTATTCCTTCTGAAAAAGAGAAGGCTTCTAAACTTTTCCACCTCATCTACAATGTTGTAGAAGATAGTTATACACGGATTTCCAATAATAATGAAAAAATAACTGGCTGGGGAACAGGTGTTTGGAGGGCAGAGTCTATTTGGAGAAAGGTTGAAACAGATTGGAAAATGGTAAGGATTTATTAACAGTGTTAAATCTACTGTGAAAGTATGACAATGCCAGTAAAGTAGAAAATCCTTGCTTCTGTTTGGCATCAAAGCCTCTCTTGGTGTCTACACAATTTAGCTGATGTTCATAAATATTACTGGAAAGTTTCAGGTAAGATTGCCGGATGATTTAAGAAATTACAAATAAATTTAGCTTGCCTTTCAGAAAGTTAGAATCTTTGCTAGAGCACCAAATCTTAAAAACTTGTTTCCTTCTTACGCTTCTGGGCAAACATGTGATACCGCTTTATTGAAAAGCAGTACTTCTCTCCAAAAAAAATCCCACATTTTTTGGCTTTGGAAAATAGCTTTATAATGTGTATCATGTCTCTTTGATGCACAGCCAAAGGAAGAAGTTGTCATCCTAAACATTATGGTTGCAGTAAGACAAAAACCTTATCAGCCAGATTATTGCATGCCCTGCCCAGACTCTTTTCTATCTGTCAGGACACTGAGCAGCAGAAGAATCATATGCTCTTACTCGAGGAAGAAAAGAGTTGATGCCTGTAGAATAGGAAGGGGTCACTTGCTAGCAAGCTTTTCCAGCAACAGCTACGAATGGTGCAACTGAATATTTCTGTCAGCTACTGTAAGATGTTATTGTTCTGTTGCCTCTCTCATCTTACTGGTCTAAAGGGTCTCTGGCCAAATGTGCGTCTACCTTAAGGAATAGTTAGCTTTTCAGTAAAGAAAAATGGAGCAAGAGCATAATTCTCTTCTAACATTTTCTGTACTAGATCTATACATAACAACTGGGGCAATCCCAGGTATTTGTACAAAATGGGAGAAGAACCCCTTGAGAGCAACCCTGCAGAGAAGGACTTAGTGGATAAGGTGGACAAGAAGCTGGACATGAGCCAGCAGTGCGCTTGCAGCCTGGAAGGCCAACTGTGTTCTGGGCTGCATCAAAAGAGGAGAGTGGACAGCAGGGAGAGGGAGGTGATTGTCCCCCTCTACTCAGCTCTTGTGAGGCCCCATCTGGGGGACTGTGTACAGGTCTGGGGCCCCCAGCACAAGAGGGACATGGAACTCTTGGAGCAGGTCCAGAGAAGGACCGTTAAGATGATCAGAGGGCTGCAGCACCTCTCCTGTGAGGAAAGGTTGAGGGAACTGGGCTTGTTTAGCTTGGAGAAGGCTTCGGGGAGACCTCATTGTGGCCTTCCAATACTTGAAGGGAACATATAAACAGGAGGGGGCACAGCTGTTTATGAGGGTGGATAGTGACAGGACAAAGGTTTTAAACTGAGCCAGGGGAGGTTTAGGTTAGATACTGGGAGGAAGTTTTTCACATAGAGGGTGGTGATGCATTCAAACAGGTTGCCCAAGGAGGTTGTGGATGCCCCATCCTTGGAGGCCTTCAGGGCCAGGCTGGATGTGGATCTGGGCAGCCTGGTCTGGTGGTTGGCGACCCTGCGCATAGCAGGGGGATTGAAACTAGGTGATCATTGTGGTTGTTTTCAACCCAGGCCATTCTATGAGTCTATGAACTCGCAACCCTTTTGGGGGGTTCATTGTAACTCTTCAGTGAATGTTGATGTGTGAGCTTGACTGTGCAACCATGTGATGTTCAGAACAGCACTGGGACAAACGCAGACTTTTAACAGCCCGATTAGTGTTAGTGTAGGATGCATTTATGACCGGTGTGTATGATTTGCCTTAATCAAGTCATGGGAAGTCCTGGGAAAAGTGCTGTGTGGCAAGGAGCCACATCTGCAGAATCCAGAATACTGAGCAACAAAAATGAAACTGAGTATGTGGACCTATGGTTTTATATAAAAGCCAAAAGTCTGCTTTTTTTAATATAGTGAGCTTTAATGAGCATGTTGAAATAGATTAGTGTTCCTGGTGAAGGGCTATGAATCACGTACAGTTGCCTAACTGTTGAATAGACTTAATGATTTAGAAAGAAATAATATAAAAAACTGTAATGTGAACAGTTTTAAAGCTTTATAAAGGATGAAAGTATACTCTTAAGATTTAATAACCTTGTTACAGGGATTAATTAAATGTGTGTTGGTTGTCTCAGTTTTTGATGTGACTGTCTTATTTTTATTTAGGTTTATCTAGCCAGAAAAGAGGGGTCGTCCTCTGCTTCCATCAGCTGGAAGTTTGAGTGCAAATCAGTTGGTCTAAAAATAGATAACATTTCAATTAAGACAAGCAGTCAGACATTTCATAGTGGAAGAATCAAGTGGAGACTTTACTCTCCCACAGCAGAAGTTATTCTGGTAGGAGGTAAGTGTGAAATTACATCATGCAGCAAAAGTGTAATTGCAAATGCGTAGTTTATATGGAGAGACCACTGGGCAAATATTAAAAATGAAGTATAAACATACGTTGACATTTCTAATTCAGTCTTTCTTTACAAGGTCAAAAAAATACTGTATTTAATCAAAACTGGCAGAGAAAAAGGAACCAAAGCAAGTTTTAGTAATCTAAATACTACTTGCAGCATAGTGGGGTTAGCAAAAACACAGTGAATAAAAGCTGTGTGTTTTACAGGGAGGAATAGATGTTTGTATGAGTGGTGGCGTCAATCTTGACTAGATCCTCTGAGTATGAAAAATAAACTAAAATTCTGCAGCTGTCTCTTTTCTGCTGCTGATAAATTGATTTGTACAGTTTTGACTCAGATTCTTAAACACTCATGACACATTACCCTTTTAATGTGTTCTAGCACTGTATGCTGTTTGGAGCGGACTCTTACTTGTTTATCTTTTTCTTCCAATAGATGAAAATCTCTCCTCCTATTCAGATTTTTGTGGTGCAACAGAAGTTACACTGGAAGCAACTCTAAGTGGAGGGGATGGTAAAGCTGCGTGGCAACACACACAGCTGTTCAGAAACAACTTAGCAGGATGTGGAGAAAATTGCTTGGAGATGATTATAAAACTTGCTGACTTCTGAGAACCTGAAGTCAAGGAATCCAATGAAATTCTCTTTAAGACGTCATACTGTGGAAACAGCACGAAGTCTTGGTTGGCAGTTCCTGACTATCCTGCAGACAGCTTATTCCTATTTCAGTCCTTCCATTTTGCCAAATGGAAACTGCATGGGTACTGAATAGGTAACCATCACAATGAAAGCTTTCTTTGCTTTGAAACTCAAAAATTAAGGATTGAACCATTAAATTAATGCTCTTTTCTTAAACTCTAAAGAAAAGAAAGCATTTCTTAGAAACCAGAATGTGATCATAGGAGCACAGAGCAGTTTTAATTTGGAGTTTTGTGGTTGGCTTACTGGTTATTGGGGTTTTTGTTTTGTTTTTTTAATCTACTTCTTGAAAAGACAGTATGAATTCCATTCTTTGATTACAACAAATGCATTGTGATGATTTTAAAATATTTTAAAAACTAATAGAAGACAAATATTTTCAAGGATATATCTGATTTTGTGTGATAATTAGCTGAAATTAATGGAAATATGAAAGCAATCTTAAAATGATCTTGTTATGCATTTAAGTATTAAACTTACGTTTAATTATTATCTAATTTTAATACTTAGAAATTTTTGAAGGTATGATAGTAAACTAATTTTGAAAGAAATGTTCATTATGTACCTAAGATTTTGTCCTGGCTTGTGATGTGAAATTGAGACTTAAAAATGAATATCAGATTTTTTTCTATGAAAAAGATTATTCGTTATACATACTCTTATACAATATAAATTCAAATCTATGCACCTTTAAAAAGATTTATGTAGTGTGTAGGTGTTGAAATCATTTTTTAAACTATTGTCTTGAGGTGCTTTGAATACCGTTCCCAAATTTGGTGTAAAAGTGCATACAATTTTCTGTTACTGTATACAGTGTTTAAGTTTCTTTGCATTGGGTACAATAAAACCACCACCCAGGAAATTTCAGATGTAGCAGTGCTGTGAATAAAGTATGGAGTGAGTGTTCTGCTTAGATAGTCTTTACCAGAGAATTTAAAGAAGGCTATGGCTGGAACACATGAGAGCAGTTCTATTATAAGATTATAATACAAAGTTTGAGCTACAGTTTTCATAGAATCATAGAATCATAGAATCACCAAGGTTGGAAAAGAACTAAAAGATCACCCAGTCCAACCATTCACCTATTCCCAATAGCTCCTACTAAACCATGTCCCTCAACACAACATCCAGTCTTTCCTTGAATACCCCCAGGCTCGGTGACTCCACCACCTCCCTGGCAGTCCGTTCCAGTGCCTGACCACCCTTTCTGAAAAGTAATACTTCCTCATGTCCAGCCTGAATCTCCCCTGCCGTAGCTTGAAGCCATTCCCCCTGGTCCTATCACTAATGACACGAGAGAAGAGGCTGACCCCCAGCTCACTACAACCTCCCTTCAGGAAGTTATAGAGAGCAATGAGGTCTCCCCTGAGCCTCCTCTTCTCCAGGCTGAACATTCCCAGCTCCTTCAGCCTCTCCTCATATGGCCTGTGTTCCAGACCCCTCACCATTTCATTGCCCTCCTTTGAACACGTTCCAGGGCCTCAATATCTTTCTTGCAGTGAGGGGCCCAAAACTGGACACAGTACTCGAGGTGCGGCCTCACAAGTGCTGAATATAGGGGAACAATCACCTCTGCTCCTGCTTGCAACACTGTTTCTGATGCAAGCCAGGATGCCATTGGCCTTCTTGGCCACCTGGGCACACTGTCGGCTCATGTTCAGCCGAGCATCAATCAATACCCCCAGGTCCATTTCCTCTATGCAGTCCTCCAGCCACACCGTCCCAAGCCTGTAGCGTCGCCTGGGGTTGTTGTGGCCGAAGTGCAGGACCCGGCATTTGGCCTTGTTGAAACTCATCCCATTGGCTTCAGCCCAGCTCTCCAGCCTGTCCAGATCCCTCTGTAGGGCCTCGCTACCCCCAGGCAGATCCACACTTCCAGCCAAATTTTATTTTGCCAAGTTTTATTTTAAAATAAATGAAAATTTATTATATTTTAAAATAAATGAAAATTAGGGATGATATCCCTAAGGTCAGTGTGATTTTAAAGCTTTTTTTCTTTCTTTTGTTCTTCTTCCTTTTTGTTTTTAAATCTGACTCTTCCAACAACTGTGTTGACTTGAAACTGTTCTCAAAAGTCATTTGTGTTGGAACAAATCAAGCATCTACTAGGCTGCTAGGGTACTATTAAAAAACTGCACGTGCATAGTGAATATAGGCACTGAAGTTAAGCCAAAGACATCTTAAAATAGTAGATTACAGCAGCTCAGGAGTGACAGAATGATTCGTAGTAGATGATATGCTTTTCCTTGGAAAACAAATTGGCAGTTAATGAGGGAATAAAGAGGGAGTCTCACTCCCTTAACAGGACGATTGAGAGACAGACAGGAAGCTGTATGGAAGGATGTTGGTCTATACTTGACTAATGCCAAGTGAATTTGGCCATTTCCATTCAAAACTCCTCCTGCTTTAGTTTTAGGTAAATGGTAGCTCAAAATTTGAGTGGGAATCAAACAAATAAGTGCTACAGTCTAGTCTTAATGCAGTAATGGAAGAAAGTAATAAGAAAAAAACCCTCACCTTTTTGTTTCGTAACTGTGACAAGTTATTTCCTTTATTTTATTACTAAAAATAGAGGACTATCAGGAACTGTAAAGGAATTTAACTGCATTTCATAATTTGAAAACAGAAGGCAGAATAATTTTAATAGTAGTTATTAAAGTTACTACTATTAAAAAAGTAAGTTTCTCACAGTTTTGGTTGGAACCTTTGGGGGAAGAGTAATAACTTCAGATAACTTATTAAAGTCATCCACTCAAGAAGGAGAGCAGGTAATGTTCATTATTAAACTATTTGAATGAATTAAAAAAAAAAAAGTTCCACTAATCTAGTTAAACAATAAGTATTTTCTGTACTTGTAAGATCACATGCAGTGAATAAAAGTGCTTATTCTAGGAATTAATTATTGAGTAGAAACCTGATTTGAAGTAGTAGAGACCTAATTTGAAGAAGAAAAAATTAAACCCCCTTAGATGACTTTTGAAGTACTCTGTTAGCAGTGAGCATTTTCAGTCTCTTCATGCGTGAGCTGTTTTAAAGGTGCGTATTTCTTCTTTCAGTATTTATTTCACTGCAACAAGCGTGGATATTAAGTTAAGCTGGCAATACTACGATTGTAATTGAGTTGTGGGTGATGTTGATCAGGGCACATGTAGCATTTAAACTATTGTGTTTTATTGTTCTGTTGTCTCTACAGTTGATCATACGGATGTTTATTTCTTCATATCCTGTTTAAAGTCTGAATGCTGCGTGCAGAATAGCAAACGCTAGTTGGCAGTGCAAGAAATTTTAGGAGTAATTTTCTATATTCAAGGAACCTGCTGGGAGGGTGGAAAGAAAATATTTAAAACATTATGGAAGCCCCTTATAGGCAGTGCAGGGAAAAAGAATACAAGAATCAAGTAAACAATCTTGATTATAAATTATGTATTTGCACTAAGATGCAGGTAAAGGAAGTTATCTGATCTTGTGTGATGTCGCCTTTATTCATCAGTTTTCCACAGATTTTTAACATAATAGGGGTTATGTCTTATGTCTAAACCACACTGTGTGCAACATCAGGAAATGTAGAACACTAAAAATAAAGTATGTTTGTCTCCATAGCGCAGTGGAATGAAAACAGATGGTAGGCAGCACATATGGCTGCCAGCAGCTGGGAGCACCCATTTACAGAGTTCTTACAGCTTAAAACAAAACAAAGAAACACCAAGGGGGGACAGAGTTTGTGCCCAGCAGATACCGGGATCTCTGTCCTCTTGTCTGTGTCCACACACTCTTTTACCTTCAGTTGCTTAAGCTAAAAATGAAAGTATGCTACCAGTTAAATTAGTGTGTATTCTTACTATTTGTCAAAATGTAGCATTTAGTAAATACAGATATTTATTTTAAATCTCATGTTCCCACTTTGGGTTCGAACATCTGGTTTGCTCCTATTATAAGCAGTTTGACTTAAGAAGTCTTATTAGTTTGCTACAGCTTCTTCTCTGAAGTTACTAGTTTCAAGAAGCAAGGAGCTACTGGAGCAAAGTTTTGAGATCTCCTGTCCTATAATATGGCACCTAGGAATGGTGAAGTAACAAGCTAAGGTCAAGCAGACTCAAGTATCTGTAATTTATGTTTATAGGTGTTGTGAAATACGTAAGAGTATAAATGTGACTTCCTGTCTGAATAAGAGGACCATTTTTGGTTTGTTTGTTTTCCTCTGTTTAGACTTTTATGTTGATTCCTGCACTTTGCCTTTTTTTTTTTACTTAAGTTTTGTAGTTAAGCTACTAGCTTATTTTATGGTTAGCCTACTTCAGATTCTGCAGTGCTGTCTTTTTTTTTCTACACATTTTCTATCTAATTTAAAATACATCTTAATTTGCTTTTAATTTATATAGAGGATTGCTACTGTATGATAAATATTCTGTGACAGAAATTAAGTTAGTTTATTCACTTTTATATTCTGCAAGGAAACGAAAGGGATAAAGATGCTCAAACTCAGCAAAAAAAAAAAAAAGAGCAATACTCATTAAAATTGATGATACCCATAAACCAACAAAAATGGCAGGGCTTAATAACATTTAATGAGGAAAAATAATGTAATGGACTCCTCATAAGCTAGTGACCCTTTACACTGAGTTATTTTCCTATTTGTCCATTTGTATTTAGGTTACTGAGAAAAGTGCTCAGAGTAGGGGACAGCATTACTGAGAAGCGGTAAAAGATGTAAGGTACATCCATTCTCTTAATTTTTATTATTGCTCTAAGCTGTCAAAATCATTTTAAAATTAACAACAGACTCCTCCTGCTTAATGTAGATTAATTCCTGTCTTTATTCTGGAAAATGTTTCTTTTTTGGGGGGAAAGAAAGTATTTAGTGACCTATTGTAACAAACACCTTTAAGAGAACGCTATTTTTAATGAGTGTGAGATTTCAGAGTGACTGAGTGCTGGCACAGACGGGAACGACTGGGTCCAATCACTGCACAGCCAATGACTGTCTGAATATCTTATAAAAGGAGGAATATATATATATTATATATAGGGTGATGACACACTGGAACAAGTTGCCCAAGGAGGCTGTGGAAGCCACATTCCTGGAAGCATTCAAGGGCAGGATGGATGTGGCTCTGGGCAGCCTGGTCTGGCGGTTGGCAGCCCTGTGCATAGCAGAGAGGTTGAAACCTCTCTGATCATTGCGGTTCTTTTCAACCCAGGCCATTCTATGATTCTTATTAAGTGTAATATTTCAAAGCATGTTCTGTTAATTTGTTCCTTTTACTGCACAATTCTGTGTGCTATTTCATATCTTTAGAATTTTGGTAATGTATGTTTCCTATGTCTTTGAAGCACCAGGGGATCATACTTTCCTTCCCAGACAATCAGCTAACAGCTTAATTGTCACAATCAGGAGGAAGTAGCGGACTTATTTTAGATGCACACTTCAGATAACAACATATAGACCCCCTTGTATAGCAGTTATATGGAAAGCAGCAAATGTAAGAAAATAAAGGCATCCAAGAACAATGTTTAAGCAAGATCTTAGTAAGGTAGGTGGAACAGTTGATAACAGGCTCTTAGAGCTGATGGAAAGAGCAGGAACGTACGTACGAGCATCAGTGAAATACATGATACATTCAAAAAGAAGTTCAACACTGGCCAAAAGATGTAAAATTTTATTGGCCAAAAGGAAAATGCCCCTTGATGGACTGCATTAAGAATTCTGAAGGTATTCTGTTTTCTGGTAGTAAGAAACATGTCAGAAAACTGTTTCTGATTCAGGTGGCTTTTTTTGTTCTGTTAAAGTAAGGAGCTCCTGGCAAAGTATGCTTACGGTTTCAGTTAGCAAAGATGGTTTCAAAGAAAACAGGCAGAAGGAATATTGT